TCCTCGATCTGCTGGCAATGCCCCTACTTATACAGCCCAAAATGCCGTTAGCCTTCACCAGACAGACATTTAAATTGTTTTATTTAACTAAAACAACAACGTTATGTATTCTGGATTTTTTTTCTTCAACAGCAAGCATAATATTTTAACAAAACAAGCATGCAAATTTTTGAATTTAAACATTTAAGTTCTTTAAAATCAGGTTTGTTTTTGTTAAAATTGGCCTCAAATTGGCAGCCGACTGTGCATGGGCAGGGAACAAAGAAATTCTGTTTTAAAATAACCAGTTTATTTCCAGGGTGTGAACTGGCAGATTGAGCTCTGGTCAAGTGAAAAATTCTCTAAGTAATACAAACAGAGAATCAGGATAAAGCGGTCAAAACCATTTCCAAATATATATTCAGTACTTTTGCTGGCAATGCTTGACAATAACCAAGTACAATTCAGTATGTTAAAAACAGAAAACATACTTGCACTGACTGTAAGCTACACAGAACCCAGTAAGTGAGCATTCATACTACTGTATGTGATTTTGCAGAAAATCCATTGTAAACTGATTGGATGCAGGATTTCAACTCCAAATCCTACTACTTGCATCCAGTTCAGGAAAGAGATTAAAAACAATGTGTGGGTAGCTTTGGGAGGGGAAGGAGGGTTTTGATATGGACAGGTTCACTGGCTCTCCAGGAGTCCCAGGGGCCTTCTGCCCCTTGCAGAGAAGACCATTTATCTTTAGTTTTTTGCTCCCCTGTAATAAGTGAATAGTTCTGGACATTTCTGTGTGAGAAACATTTCTCTCACCCTGGTAGGATACCTTTCCATGGTACTCTGCCAGGACGTCTTGGGGATTGTCACTGTTTATGTACTCAGCTGTAAGGTAGGAGCAGGGGACAGAATCAGGATATGTGTTCCATTTATCACCCCACCACAGTTAGGGAAGAATCCATCTATTATTTCCTACACATTGCTCAGAGTCACAATCCTGTGCAGCTGGACTATCCCCACTGTCGATTTTCCAACCCTGAACTGATTGTCTACTGACAGATAGCAATCCAGGAGTGCAAGCTTCCAGAAAGTTGCTATCTGTTTCTCTGCTATTAAAGCAGCTCTCATTCTGGAGTGTCTGTGCTACAGGACTGAGGTGAACTCAGAACACAACTCCAGGAATGTGACCCTTTGCATCCAAAAGTTCTATAGGTCATCCCAGTTTGCATCACAGTCTGGTCCCACCACTTGGTGCCAAGAACCACCGCTCCCCTGTGAACAGCTAGTCAATGAATATCTACAGCAGCTGGTTGCTTTCATTCACGGTCTGTATCATCCACTCCTCAGTATCCCCTTTATATGATGGGTTACCAAGATTCCACAAATATAAAAGAATCCGTAAAATAGACAAGAGAGATTCTTTGGTCTGTGCAGCATCTATGGTTTTGGATGTAAGAAATGAGGGATTTAAAAACAGCATGAAAGAGTGGATTATGGGTTTGATCCCAAACTCCCACAGTTCCCAGAGAGGAGTGATGATATCCCACAATATAATGCAAACATTTCCTGGTTGATAGTGTGCCTGATGGTGATATGGGAGACACTGGGATTCCTGCTTACAGTGCAGCATGTCCTTTGCTGATACAACTTGATCCTGAGGACACACTGCACTGGTACTCATGTAAATGCATTCTACTGAAATAGCTATGTTGGTAGCAGAATGTCAATAAAACTTTCTAGTGTAGACAAGGGGCAAAGTATTACTGCAATACAAATAATAGGAAGTAGTAATAATCTCCATGATTGAGTAAGGTTGTTTTTCTTTTCAGGGCGTTTCCAGGCAGCTGACCGCACAGAATTGGTTAAAACCACAGAAAACATTGATGTATTTATGGATGTAAAGGCTTTATGGACCACTAGGGATGTGGCACTCTCAGTGCACCGTGGTTTCAGGTATCTGATAGGTCAATATTTTGATGAAAGAAAAGGGACTTTTGTGTGAAATCCATTTCTTTTTCTCTCTGGCTAGGGAATGCTTTTGAAGTGAACACCTTCTATCTACCTTGTAAATGTCTCTCTTAATCTCTTTGGACACACTCAACAAACAATGGATGAGTGCAGAACTGAATAACTGCAAGCTTTTCTATTGATGGACTAGGCCTAAAGCTTCTCAGCACTCTAGCAAATTATAGTATAGTTTGTTTTGTTTTGACTGAGAGTGCCTGCTTTTGAGAGGCAGGGGGGAAAGTTGAAGTATAGCAGCCAGAATTTAAACTGTAGGAGAGACCATAAATGTGTCATGTCTAATTTTAGAAAAGAGCAGATTTTTAGTTTGAATTAAATTCAGAAGCTGCTTTTAGTGTACCATTTGTAGAAAAAAGGCAAATGGACTAGCCTGAAAAGAGGTTGTAACACCCTAAGGGAAATGTAATGATAAATAGCAGTGTAATGAGCTAGTATGAGGTGATTAGTGATTGTGTTAAGTCCAGTCTTATTTAACATCATCAGAAATTATCTTGAAGAAGTAATAAACTCTTTGAAATTCACAGATGAAACCAAAGTGGAAAGAGGTGCAAATGTTAGTGAGGACAGAAGTAGTACAAAGGGACCTACAGAGGAAAGAGATTAAAAATGAGATATACGTAACTACTGTAATGCATCTGGGAAGAAAATATTTGAAAAATACGTAGCTCCTGAGGGGAAAACTTGGAAATGAGTAATGCTGAAAAAGAGTTAGGAGCAAAATTTAAATCAAATTAGACATGAGTTTGCAATGTGATATAGTAGCAAACAGGCCAGTGTGATTTTTGGCTGTGCAGAGACATTATGATATGGAGCAGGAAAATAATAGCTCTTCTCTATCTGGCTCTGGTGTATTTGTACTGTGTGAACATTGTGTTCACTTCTGGGCAATACGTTAGCAAGGAGTTCAGAGAAAAACAGCAAAAATTATCATTGGGCTGGAGGGACTGACTTAGGGGGAAAAAAGATGCATATAGTTTGGATAAAACACTACTAAAATGGAATTGGGGGGCTATAGCAGGGAGGAGTGCTCATAGCCTCTATATTTGAAGAGTATGAACATCAAGTTTGGAGAGGAATTATTTAGAGCATTGCAAAGGAATACAACTCCCTATAACTATAGGAGTAATGGGATAGAGAAAAGGCTGAACATCAGGACAAATTTCCTTAATAAGACCTCTTAGGCTGTGAAGCAGTCTCTCAAGGGAAGAGGTGGAAGCCCTATTGCTTGAGACTTTTTAAACTAGACTGGACAAATTGCTAGAAAATTATATGTAAGGAACAATCCTTCTGTCCTGGCAGAGATGGAATGGAGCTTTAGCTTCTATGACAATCTGGTCCATGAACTTTTGCTGAGATTACAGCTATTTACAAAAACTCTAACAATCTCTTATCCATTTAGGGTGATTGGACTCTTTTCTCATGGCTTCCTTGCTGGCTATGCTGTGTGGAACATTATTGTAATATACATTCTAGCAGGAAACCAGCTATCCACTCTCTCAAACCTGCTACAGCAGTACAAGGCCTTAGCATATCCTGCTCAGAGTTTCCTTTACTTGTTGTTGGCTATCAGCACAGTTTCAGCCTTTGACAGGTAAAATGTTCATTTGTATAACTTACATAATTTGTATGCCATACATCCCCCTTCTAAAGTCATAGAGTCATAAAATTTCTTTCTGTGGCACTTTTCTCACCTGTGATAGGATGTACTACAGATTGCTTCATTTGCTGCAGTTAGTTCTACCTTGCTCTACCTTGACAAAAGAAGATTTATCTTCTATGTATATATGCCATATATTTTTACATTAAGGGAATGTAGCGGATGCATACACATACGTTTTGCAAAAATAACAGAATGGTAAAGTACCAAAGGAGACAGTTATTTACTGTCTCCTTGTACAGTGTTAAATGAGCTTTTCTTCCCTGAAGTATCAGAGGGGTAGCCGTGTTAGTCTGGATCTGTAAAAAGCGACAAAGGGTCCTGTGGCACCTTATAGACTAACAGACGTATTGGAGCATAAGTTTTCGTGGGTAAATACCCACTTTGTCAGATGCATTTCTTCCCTGAGTGGATCTGTATGTCCCCACTTGTGGTACCTTGTGGTAGATCCTTCTTCTTGCTGTGTAAGCTAGAGCTCTTTTGTGCCTCCCACCTCTCCTGTCAGGGTCACTGGTGTTCTGAGGGCAAGGCTATATAGGAGAGGAGCATCTTCACCACCTCAGTTGCTTCCAACCATATGCCTGGTCAGATGTGAACTACTCCGGTCTCTTTGGAGTTTCTTGTTTCTTAGGAATAGTTAGTATTAGCTAATTATGTAGAGTTTGTGTTTTTCCTGATTCTGGGTTATGAAGGAAATGAAGAAACAGAGGAAGCCAGGTCCCAAGAAGTGCATTTCCTGCGTGGCTGTCTTCCCACTATCCGATGACCATGTCCGGTGCCTTAAGTCCCTGGAAGAAGGACTGTCTCTTACAGAGTGTTTGATTTGCCAAACCTTTATTCCCAGAGACCGTAAAGATAGGGAGACTTGCAAGAGCTCCTCTTTCTAAAGGAAGCTCTCAAGGCTAAAACCTCTGGACCCACTCAGGCTTTGCATCCTAGCTCTAAGAGACCAATCTCTGCCCCTGTGACCTGAATGGCTTCAAGAAGCTGCAACCTCTGTCAGGGCCTGATTTGGTTCCTGCAGATTACCGCCGTTAAGCCCCTGAGGCTACAGATGTCCAAAGCAAGTGCCATGTGGTTGGATCTGACTGCCCCTGTTCTGGAAGAGAGTTTGAGAGAGAGTTTGGCCACTGATTGTGTATCTCGTTCGTCCCAGCTACCTGGCCCTGATGGAACTCCTATGGAACAGAGTCGGTTCTGACTTCCACTTCTGGATCCAGGAAGATGGAACTGATTGATGTATCAGAATCTGGGCCATCAGCACTTTTAGTTCAGTCTGTCACAGCACTGAAGAAAAAGGGGCATAGAGACTAAATGGTCACTGTTAGCAGTGCCGGTTCCTGGGCATCAGAACTAGAACTATCAGATCCATCTGATTCTGACAGGGCGTCTACAGTTCCAAAGTGGAGATCTGTTCCAGACCTGCCTTCAGTAACAAGGAAGATGGATTTATTTATAATGTTGGATCTGAGGTTATCCACATTGTCAGATCCATTGTCAGTTCCTGGCTCTGTTCCAGCTATATCCTCAGTTCTGGAGAGCTTTGTCACCACGGCAGCCCAAGTTCATCTTCCAGCTCCAGTTCATGTCTTAGTTCTGAGTGTGAAACACAAGTCATCCAAAAAGAGGCATGTTATCCTGGTTCCAAGATCTTCTCCCTTGTCTCCTGTTAGGAAGAAGTGGTCAGAAAGTGCTGCTGGTCTTTTCCTGGAACACCTTATGCTTCTTCCTCCTGGGACCCCATACAGGGTCTTCACAAAGAGCTGGATCTCCATACTTCTCTCTGGATCTGCTGTTATCTCTGGTGCATTCTGTCTCCGATCCAGATCTGGATCCTTTCCAGGAGGAAGATAGAGGAAAAGTGCAGAGACTTGTGGCTCTCCTTGTACCACCCTCTGGATCACCTTCTGCAGGCAGAAAAACTAAGGACATGAGATCGACTGCCTACTCTTTGGGTATGATTTCCTGTGCTAGGAGTAGACCCTCTACTCCTTCTTTCCAGTACCAGAGACAGCTCTACCATGGTTTTACTTTTTGTCAGGTCAGAGACATGAAAAATATCAACAATCTGCAGCATTCCAGAGACAGCCTTTTTCAGCCCGAGGTCTAAATCTGAACAATCCACTTCCTCATCAGCGCCTTCATCATGAAACAACAAGCCTTAATTTTGACAAGATGATTAAAATCAAGAACCAGTCAGCCCCCTTCTTTGGAAAGAGGCTAGCCCTCTTTATTAACACATGAAGACAAATTATGTCGAACCAATGGGTTCTAGAGATTATAGAAAGGGGCTGTGTCATACAATTCAAAAGATTGATGATCATCCTTCCCCAATATTCCCTTACCCTTTACTCTTCAGGGACCCCTCTCACAAGGGTATTCTTCTTAGAAAAATTACTTTGGATGGGAGCAGTTGTGGAGGTCCCCAAATACTGGAGCGGGGGCAGAGTCATGGCTTTTATTCCCATTACTTTCTGGTGTGGAAGAAGGATAGGAGGGATTTCATCCGATACGAGACTGGAGCAACTTGAACAAGCACATTTGGAAGTTCCGGTTCCCTATGTTGACATCTCTTTGCTTTCAGTCACGAATTGGTTCACAACTCTTGATTTAAATGACTCATTTTTTCCCTATATTGATTTGTCACTCATTGTAAGTACCCCTGTTTCATGGTGGCCGGATGCCATTTTTAGTACAAAGTGTTTTCATTTGGCTTCTCCACAGTGCCCAGAATTTTTACAAAATGCCTCCCTGTGGTAGACGCTCATTTGAGGAATGAGGGTATTTTTGTTTACCCTCATTTGGATGATTGGCTACTGAAGCTGCTATACACAAGGACCTATTAAGCCATATTGTTTTTACAACTAATCTCTTTTCAGCTGTTGGACTTCTTCTCAACCACCCGAAATCAATTCTCTGACCTACTCAAAGGATTCCCTTTACAAGCTGTATACCAGACTCAGTGGAAGGGAGAGCTTTTCTACCAGATGAAAGATTTCAGAGGTGTGTTACTCAAAGAATAAAATTCTTTTTGGGTCTCATGGGCTTTATGGCAGCCACTACTTATGTTACTCGTTTTGTTATCAGAGAATGAGACCTATGCAGCATTGAATGTCTTGGGTCTACAGAGCAAGTTGGGACAGCCTCCATATGTTGATCATCATACCTCAGAACATCATAGCCTCCCTGAAATGGTGGTCAGTGAGAACAATTTGTTCAGAAGTATATAGTTCAGTCTCCTAGATCCATCTCTGATAGTCAAGTTGGATGCTTCAAGCAAGGGTTAAGGGGGTTCATCTTAATCAGCTGATAGTTCAAGGGCATTCGTCTTATTAGGAGACACCCTGCACATCAGTGTGTTGGAATTGAGAACTGTTTGTTTGGCCCTCAAGACTTCCTCCTTCACCTATAAGGGAGGGTGGTGCAGGTAGTGACGGACAGTATGTCGGCAATGTAGAACATCAGCAAGCATGGGTGTTCATTCTGCTCTTGTGTGCAGAGACTGTAAATCTATAATATTGGTGTCTCCTTCCTGATGTCTATCCTGTGGCCTTGCATCTGGCAAGGTAAAACAATGTAGTTGCAGATCGACTTAGCAGAGACAGTGCACGAATTGTCCTTGAAGTATCAGTTGGTTCAGACCATATTCTTCAGCTGGGATCACCCATATGTGGATCTGTTTGCAATGAGGTCCAACAAAAAGTGTTGCCTCTTCTATTCCAGAGCGGGCAGAAACAGTCTATCCCTGTCGGATGCTTTCCTTCTCCACTGGGGAAAGACTCTAATGTAATGCCTTTTCCCACTCTCCATTGATCCAGAAGGTAGGAAGAAAACTATATCAGAACGGGGCAAAGACGATTCTCTGTGTTGGCCATGTCAACTGTGATTTACCAATCTCCTGCAACTGTACAGCAGAGTCTTTATGTGTCTTCTTCAGTCTCCAGACCTGCTGTCTCAGCAGGAGGGAAAGATCTTTTGCCCAGACCTACAGTCTTTTCACCTGATGGTGTGGGTGATTGGACATTGACTCTGTCTGCTCCTGAGCAGTCATTTTCTTTGCCTGTGCAGGACATACTAGTTAACTCTAGAAAACAGTCCACTAGAAGCTGTTAGTTTAAATTGGACCAGATTTCAAGCATCGATGAAGGGAAAACCTGATTCCCCTGTATCTGCTTCCATTCCTTGTGTTCTGGAATAATTAATATACTTGAAGCCTGAAGTGTTATCTGACTCAGCCTTAAAAGTTTATTTGGCAGCCATCTCAGCATATCATGCTTTTAATTGATGAAAGATTGCTGTTTGTTCCGTGTTTAGTCTAAAGGTTTATCAGATGACTCACACACTCACTCTCTCTCTCTCTCTCTCTCTCTCTCTCAGAGATCCTGTCCCTTCCTGGGATCTTAATTTGGTATTGCCCATGCAGCATGGGTCATGCTGGTAAAATTGCCCTTTGAACCCTTTGCTGAGTGTTCTCTGTATCATTTGATCTATCAAGATGGCTTTCATTATCCCCATCAGAGTAAGTGAACTGAATACCATTTTGGCTGATCCAACTTTCACTTCTTTTCATAAACAGGGTAGTTCTCCAACCTGATCCCAGGCTTTTACTTAAGGTGATATCTGATTTTCACATCAAAAAGACAATGAATTTGCTGGTTTCCCCCGAGGCCTTGTTCTAATAAGGAGGATGCCAGAAGGACCCTTGCTTATTATATAGATAGAACTAAGAGGTTTTGTAAACTATCAAGATTGTTTGTGTCTTATGCTAAAAATTGAAAAGATTATATGGTTTCTTTCCGGACTGTATCTTGATGGATTAACGATTTATTGCTGAATGTTACACACTAGCAAAAGTTCCTGTACCTGCTTTGATTCTATCACTGTGGCTTCTTCCTTCGCTTGTCTTAGGCAGGTGCCAGTTGCTGAAATTTGCAGAGCTGCAACCTGGACTTTCAGTAAACATTATGCGTTGAACCTGGCTTCTAGGATAGGCACTGGATTTCGTAAAGCGGTGCTACAGTCTCTATTCATTTAGGACTCTGTTCTGGCTCTAGGTCAGTTTTCAGCACTGCCTATCGCTTTATCCCTTAAGAGAGAATATGCAGAACCATGCAAAGAAGAACTTAAGGTTACTTCCTTGTAATCAAGGTTCTTTGAGATCGCTCTACATATTCAAACTTCCCACCAGACTTTCTCTCTCTGTCAGAGTCCTTGTTTGTTTGGTTTCTCTGGCTTTGTGGTGGAAGGAACTGAAGTGATGAGGGCACCTTACCCCTATACAGCCTTGGCTTCAGAACGTTAGTGACTGAGGCGGGGGGTGGGGCATAAGACTGCTTCTTACACTGCTGGAAGAATGTTCTACCACAGGGCACCACAAGGTGGCACAGTACCCGTAAGTGTGCATACACAGAGCCATCTTGAAGAACTTTGATTATAAATAAGTAACCTTCATTTCTTTATATATATATATATCTGTTCAGGATTGACTTGGCTAAAGCATCAGTAGCAGTGCGAGGCTTCCTGACCCTGGATCCAGCAGCCATAGCCTCTTTCTGTGAGTGTTATAAACATACAGCTAAGGGTAGCATAAAATCCCTCCTTTATCTGTAAAGGGTTAAGAAGCTCAGATAACCTGGTTGGCCCTTGACCAAAAGGACCAATAAGGGGAGAAGATACTTCAGATCTGTGGGGGAAGGTTTTTGTTTTGTGTTCCTTTGTTCTCTCCGGGTCAGCGAGGAATCAGGGCAGAGAAAATACATCTCCCAAAGCCATACCTGAACTAAGCCTCTAAGATTACAAATTGTAAGTAATAGGAAGAAAATGTGTTAGATTTTCTTTTGTTTTAGCTGGTGAATTGTCCCTATGCTACGAGGGAGGTTTATTCCTGTTTTTTTTTTGGTACCTTTAAAGTTTTGCCTAGAGGGGGATCGTCTGTGTTTGGAATCTGATTACCTTGTAAAATTACCTTCCATCCTGATTTTACAGAGATGCTTCTTTTATAATAAAGTTCTGCTTTTAAGAACCTAATTGGTTTTTAGTGTCCTAAAAACCCAAGGGCTGGTCTGTGCTCACTTTGTTAACCTATTTGGTTGGTATATTATTCTCAAGCCTCCCCAGGAAAGGGGGTGAAGGGGCTTGGGGGGATTTTGAGGGAACAGGAATTCCAAGTGGTCCTTTTCCTTAAATCTTTGTCTAACTTACTTGGTGGTGGCAGCAGTACTCATCCAAGGACAAGGAAGGATTTGTGCCTTGGGGAAGTTTTTAACCTAAGCTGGTAGAAATAAGCTTAGGGGGTCTTTCATGCGGGTCCCCACATCTGTACCCCAGAGTTCAAAGTGGGGAGGGAACCCTGACAGTGAGTATACAGCAGACCATAACATTCAGCAGCAGAAAATTACAGCCTTTATGCATCTTGGCATACATTTTCAGTGCTGAGTTTAAACATGCAATCTCCACTACTGTTAATGGAAATTTCATCCCTAATTGTTCTCTGCGTTAAAAAAAAATTACAGTACTGTATTAAATATTAGCACTTCAGTCGGTTAGATAAAAATGGAGGGTCAAAGAGCTGAATGTTTTACTAACTAGTCTCATGTAAAAATTTGGAATAAGTGATGGGATTTTTAGTGCTTCTGAATCCTTTTTCTCTTCCTTACCCCTTGTAATGCTATTTTCTCCCATTTTGAATGCAGCACATGTACCAAGTAGAGCAAGAGTAATGACATATCCCTTTGACTTAGCCAGCAAGTTGTTAGTGACCTTGGTCAGGATGGTAGAATGCAGGGGACAGAAGTCAGATTTGAGGAGTTAAGGAGAGTGCTGGAGAAAAAGACTGGGCAGTGGAAGTGAGCAGCACATTCTATGACTTTGGAGACAGTGGGGTGGAGGGAGAGGGAGAGCAAGGTAAAAAATCATTATTTTGTGACTAGATAGTGTTTTATGTAAAATTAGTGAAAGCTGCAAATTTCTTTCCATTTCTCCCAGTATACTTTGTTGCTCTCATCTTGTCTCTGAGCCAGCAGATGACAAGTGACAGAATCAACCTCTATACACCACCTTCGGAGAATGGGAGCATCTGGTAGGAAATCTAGATTGCATTATTTTTTAACATTTTCTTGCCCCTTCTATGACACAGACCATGTAAGAATGTTTAATTAACAGTGGCTTAGTGATGTCATATAGTACATATCTAAAAGTGTTATAAAAGATTCCCAATACTAAACCTGTCCTAATATTTTTGCATTTGAGACCTTAAACTGAGCCCTTGATGACTTTGAGAATTGAGGGTGTTTAGCAACTCACATGATAGGGCTTGCTGTGTCTAATGGTTAAATGTATCCTTTATACACCTTGATTGGCTCAGTCCTGAGGCCTCTGTTTTGGAAGTGACCAAACTGAAATGGCACCTCACAGAGGTGGCACATTTTCTTTCCTTGTGCAGATCAATTTGTGGAGTGCCAGTGTCATTTTTGGAGGAGGTTATCTATTCTGTCCAACCAGGGTGACCAGATGTCCTGATTTTATAAGGACAGTTCCGATATCTGGGGCTTTTTTTTATATGGGCTCCTATTACCCCCCACCCCCTGTCCTGATTTTTCACACTTGCTATCTGGTCACCCTGTGTCCAACAAATTAGGAAAAAGTGCCATAAAAAGAGACTGATCAAGAGGATACTGCAGAATTATTGGCCTCTGTGTAGAAAGACCATTGCTTCTTGGAGGGTGGGCCAGTAATTGAGACAGAATCAAATTTGATGTTCCCAGTCTGCAGTCTTCATGGCTCTCAGAAACAGTCCTTCAACAAGGTGTCATACTCCTTTCCTAGGCAGGACAGCTGTCTGGAATACAGCCCTTAGGCAAGTTCAGACAAGTGTTCAACACAAAGTAAAAACAGAATTGGTAATTGATATAGACATATCCCACTCTGTCACAATCATCATTAAAACTTTGTCTGCAGATTTGCTACTTCACTACTCATTCCCCTTTCCAGATCCTTAATAAATATATTAAACAACACTGGATCTAGTATGGAACCTTGAGGCCCCCTGTTGTTAACCTTTTGCCAGGATGACAATTGACCATTTAATCCTACTCTTTGTTTTCTGTCTCCAGCTAGGGAAGGGAGTTGGTGTTGACATCTAACTTGAACACTCACTCCATGATAGGTAGTGGGGCTTCTCAGTTGGGTCATGGCCTTTGGCATTCACTCTCCTCTGCAGCTCTTCAGACCCCAGAACCTTTAGAACATATTGTGAGAAACATTTGTTGTTCAGTATTTGTTTTTGTTTTTGTTTGGTGTTTTTAATTTCTCCAGTTAAAGCATATAGCTGCCAGAGTGCTACATGGTAGAAGTTGTTAAAATAATAATATATACACACCAGGATAAGCCTCGCTATCTGCCCTCTAATAAGTATCTAATGCTTTTTTCAGGACCGCAGGTGCAGAGGAACAGATTCTTCATCCATGGATTGTGGTGAATCTGGTGGTAGCTCTTCTGGTTGGGCTATCCTGGCTCTTCTTATCTTACCGACCAGAGCTAGATCACAGTGAAGGTATGGGACATTAAGCCTAGAAGAAATTTGGAGACTGTGTTCCTTTGACTCCCCCAAATCTACTTTGTTCTGTGTTCAGAACTGGTCCTTAGAAGTGTATCACTGCTATAGTTAAGGATAAAACATTTCTATTTTAATCCTTTTTTCTCTTCCTCTCTCTCTCTTCCTCTGAATACTCATAACTTTCCAAAGAATTCATTTCTTGGAATGAAATTGTCCTTTGTTGGTCTCTTCTGATTTTTTTTAAGTTTGAGAAAATAATAATGTCATTTTTTAATGCTGTAGGATGGAATTTTTCCCCCTAGGTGTTTTAATCAAACAAGGAAACCTAACCAGTAATTTGTCCTGGCTAAAGCAAAATAAGATGAGTTTTGAAATATGGTACCATTTGGAGGGAAGCATGACTTTGATTTAACAAAGTTCAAACGTTTTGAAAATTATGTACTCTGCTTATATATTAGAAAACTATATTACGTTTTAAAGTGCACATTTCACGAATGACATTTGCTGTATGTATGTACAATACAGCTTGGGGAGCAAACTCTTTTCAACAGACAAGAAAAGCAGGAGTAGTCTTTACCTAGACTTTCCTACACCCTCAAACCCGCCCGCCCCATCCAGTGATACAGGCCCATTAATCTCCCTCACACAGCGTCATTTATTATGTGATGATTGAATTACTTATTCAGTTCAAATTTTGCAGGCTTTGAACGTACTGGGACCTCCAGAGCTCAGGGGCAGTGCGTAGTCCCCTTGTCTGTTTGGTGCGGTGCCTGGATGCTGCCCTGTTATCTTGGACCAGGGCTAGCACCCTTTGGTGCCAGGATCAGGAACCAAAAGGTGGCTTAATGCCACCTTTACCACTCCTCCCAGACTTGTACCGAGCACAGCTCAGACGGTCAAGTGAACCTACAGTGAATATGTAGATTGCATGGGTTTCAATCACATATCAACTGATGTCACACAAAAAATCCTCTTTGATAATATTTTGTAGGTTTATGGAGCTTTAGAATATTTCTTCAAGCTGCTTTACAACATTATTTGACAACTTTTTATATCTCAGTCCACTGCTGTCCCCTGCTCCCTTTCCTGGTGTCATTCATACGTGCTGGGGGGTGAGTTGAAATTCAAAAATCCAGCTGGATTTTAAAATCTTTGGATTACAAGCAATATACAATAGCATTATTGAAAAGCGCCTTAGAAGTGGGGAACCTGAGGCACAAAGAGGTGAAATTGACTTGCCCAAGGTGAGCCGATGGCATGATCTGGCCCAGAAATCCTCTGTGTTTCCAGGCTCTAACCACTGACTAGGACAGTGCCTTAAAAGTTTTGAGAGAGAAATTTTGAAAAGGTTCACCTAGGACTATCTCAAACAGACCAAAGGAAACTCAAAACTATTCAAAAACAGTTTAACAAGTTCATACTTCATTCACCATCTGAAACAGCATATGCAGGGGCATCAACAAATGCGCGGTGGATCCAGCTTTTCCTCAGCTAAATATGTTGCCAGTTAGATTAAAATTGATAATATTCTAAATTGAATTCTGCTTTCTGATTCTAATGTAATTTTTAAAACTTTCTAATGTTAACTTGGCTGGTTAGTTAATTTTGCAATTTCTATTTTTGATAATATCACTAGTCCAAATGGAGGATGCTGCTGTGTGTGGTTTGCTGGCATTGAACATTCCTCATCATACTAAGGCTTTTAGTACAATGGCAGCTTGGTGGGGACAGGGATGTCTCTTGCCATTATCAAGGTGTTGGTCAGGGCCTTCCTTACCCATACGCAAAGTATGCAGCTGCGTAGGGCACCAGGAAATTTGGGGCACCAAATTACCTGGTGCCCTGCACAGTTGCGTGCTGCTCCAGCCCCGCTCCACCTCTTCCCCAGGGCCCCCGCCCCTGCTCCGCCTCTTTCTTCCCTGCTCTGCCCCAGCCCCAGCCCCGTCCCCACTCCCCTGAGGACTGCAGCAGGGCTGGGCCTGCACTCACTGGCGGCGGGAAGTGCAGCAACCCGGCCCCAGCCACACCACCGGCTTCCGGGGGTGTGTGTGCCTGCATTGGGCCCCAGAATAGCTAGGGATGGCCCTGGTGTTGGTGATATTATTTAGAAGACAACTCGAAGAGGAAGTTTGGAGAAAAGCAGGAGGAAATATTTAGCAATAATTTATATGGTTTTTCACTAAAGCATTTAAAAAATACTGTTTTTTTTATTTGTTTGTTTTTTCTCTCTTCCAGAACTGATGTTTCATGCTGAAGTAGAAGAATTTCCTCAGCTGGATAAAGGCCTCAATGTCCAATCGTAGTGCAGAAAATGCATCTTCAAATACTGTAGCTGAGACTGAGGACTTAGCACTTATATGTATTGTACCTGTATATAATGCTTTTCTACAAAACAAAATTTGTATTTTTGTATTGTTTTATATATACTTGTTTCTGATGGATCTTTTATTTTAATTATGCTATTTTAAAAAATTCCAAAGATTTTTGAAAATAGGACTATAAAACATTTTATATTTTTTTCTGATAAAGTGAGTCTTTTCTGGTAGATAAACTCAAAACTAGTTTGGTAAACATCACTACCTAGATAGCACGGGAAGAAGACTGATGGTATACAAAAGATTAGATGGGCAAATGCTTTTGTGAGTAGCATTTTTTTTATCCTCAACCAGTTGCCTTTGGGTGTTGATCCTAATGTCAGCTCATCTGATTAGGACATATTACTTGGTTAAATATTTTTAAAGATCGAAACACAAATCATCTTATGGGGGAAAACATAGTAGAATAAAAGTTTATTTTAACAGAATATAAGGTTAGAGCTAACAGTCCTTTGGGGTGATCTGTTTTGTTGTCATAGAAAAATGTGTTGTTAGTGTAAGGAATTAGGTTGTCTAGGGCTATGTCTACAGTACAGAGTTAAGTTGACACAAGTGTCGCCGACAATCATTAACTGCAATAACAACATCGCTTGCACATGTTTACATAATGCTTCCTGAGTCAGCAGAGTGCATCCACAGTTCATTCTCTAGCATTGACAGAGAGAGCAGTGCACCATGGGTAGTTAGCCCACTGTGCAACTTGCCACCTTCTGCTGCTAGGAGTTGTGGGAATGGGGAATAGCTCAGAGTGCATCATCGTTGCGGGCTCACTGTCCCATGATGCAGTTTTTTCTGCCCCATCATTCCATGGGTGTCTGACTATGTTTCACGCCATTTTCAACAGCCCCTGTAAACTATGCGCCCATCCTCTCCATCTGAAATCATGAATCCAGCACTGCTCTCAAGTCTTGTGATAAGTGTTATGAACACAAGGTGGCTGATCATGCTGTATTTTATGAGCTGCAAATCTGAACAGGAATCCGTGGTGCCTGCCCCGCTGTGTGCCATGGAAAGAAACCATTCCAGATTACTTTTGGCATTCACGGAGTAGCTGCACATGGTGGACCATTGCGCTTGGGAAGCAAGCACCAAGTGGTGGGATCGCATTGTTATGCAGGTATTGGATGATGACCAGTGGTTGCAAAACTTTCTGATGCAGAAAGCCACTTTCCTGGAACTGTGTGTGGAGCTCACCCCTGACCTATGGCACAAGGACACCACAATGAGAGCTGCCCTCTTGGTGGAGAAGTATGTGGCGATTGCTGTGTGGAAGCTGGCAACTCCAGACTGCTACTGGTCAGTCGCAAATCAGTTTGGAGTTGGGAAGTTCACCGTGGGGTTTGCATTCACTCAGATTTGCAGGACCATTAATCACATCCTGCTACCAACGACTGTGATCAGGGCCGGCGCAAGGAAGTTTCGCGCCCTAGGTGAAACTTCCACCTTGCGCCCCCGCAGCCCTGCAGCAGCTCCCTGCCCTCCCCCCCCCCGCAGGAGCTCCCCCCCCCCGCAGCAGCTCCCACCCCCCTGGCCCGGCGAGCCGTGCGGTAGCGACCCATCCCAGCTCACCTCTGCTCCGCCTCATCCCAAAGCACGCCGCCCCGGCTCTAATTCTCCTCCCCTCCCAGGCTTGCGGCGCCAAACAGCTGATTGGTGCCGCAAGCCTGGGAGGCGGGAGAAGTGGAGCGGCGACTGCGCACTGGGGGAGGGGGCGTAGCAGAGATGAGCTGGGGTGGGGAGCTGCCGCATGGCTCCCGAGGCCGGGGGGGTGGGGAGCTGCCGTGGGGAGGGGTGCCTCAGGGCGGGAGGCGGGGAGCTGCCACAGGGCTCTCCACCCCAGCTCACCTCTAATACACCCCCTCCCCGAGCACGCCGCCCCCACCGGCAATGACAATAATTGCATGGAGCGGCCGCTGCGCTGGGAGAGGGAGTCTGAGCCGCACATGTCAGCGCGCCGCCGGCAGCCCAGCCCAGGAACGCTGTAAAAAAAAATTGGGGGCACCGCTTTTTGGCACCCCCAAATCTTGGTACCCTAGGCAACCGCCTAGTTTGCCTTAATGGTAGCACCGGCCCTGACTGTGATACTGGGAAATATGCATGAAATAGTGGATGGCTTTGCAGCAATGGGATTCCCTAACTGTGGCAGAGTGATTGATGGCACACATATCCCAATTTTGGCCCTGGGCCGTCTTGCGAGACAATACATCAATAGAAAGGGGTACTTCTCTATGTTGTTGCAGGCGCTTGTGAATTACTGAGGTTGTTTCACTGCTGTCAATGCGAGGTGGTCAGGAAAGGTGCATGATCCATGCATCTTCAAGATTTTTTTATGTTCATATGTTTCTGTGGGTATGTGTATCGATATGCTTAAATTACCCAGAGCCTAGCCAGGGATCTCCTTTTAATATTACAGCCATTTACAATTGCATCTCAGAAAGTGATACATTGGCTGATGTATGCTTTGTTTTCTTTTACAAAATAATTTTCAGTCTATTAAGCCTCACAATTGAATTTGGATCTAAGTGAGAGCTTTTGTTTGTTTTGTTTTGTTTAGCTCCTCATAAAGTTTAGAACAAGTCAAAAAAGAAGTTTGAGAAATAAATACATTTAATTAAAAATGTGAAATCTCTGTAGCAGCCTTAACTGAGATACTTTTGTGGGTTTCCACTTCAGTGATATCTTTGGTTTTTAATGCAGTATTTTTGTGTTAATTAAAATATTATGGAAATATTAGTGCCAATTTGTTGGTTTCCCCCACTACTGTTACAAATAACTATAAGCTATGACTGGAAGATTAGAGAAAACTATTTTCCTCTATTTTTCAGATTACTCTGTTCATTTTGACAGTATATTGTGTATCAGTTTGCCTGTTTCCCCCTCAGTCAATTTCCCCCCTGTTGTGTTGGTCTTTCCCACAGCAACAAGAGAGAGAAAGTCTTAGAAAAGGAAATGTGATCGTAAAACCACAAAAACTGTCAGGGAGACTCAGGAATTGTAGTACCTTAAACTACTTTTAACTCATTTATGGTATCCCTTCAGTGTTGTTTTACACCTTAAAAATGTAGTCCATGTTGTTTGAAGCCCACTCACATTAATTTAAAAACAAGTCTTTACAAATCTACATCTTGTACAGTACTGCTTAACTACACAGTGTTAGTATGCTTTCCTGTGGAAGAGAGACTCATATTTTATAGGGTTTTAGATTTTGTTGGTTTTTATTCACTGGTGGAGTCATAGGAGTGTTCTCCCCCAAATACAGATATTTGGGATTTTGGTCAGATTTTACTCATTCTTTTGCAAATGTATGAGTGAATACTATACACTAAAAATGACTCAAGAGTGGAACGAACATCCAGATGGAATTATCTTCTATATCTTCATAAAATAGTTACTTAATGTTACTTCTTTTGATGATGGCAGATATTCCTAAATTCTTCAGTGCTGTAATAGGCAGTTTGGGTTAGTTCATTATTTGTTGACATGGTTATTATTCAGTGGCGCTGGCATGGAGCTCACTTCGAGGGTGAGTGCTCAGCACTTCTGAAAATCAGCCCTGTATGTTTGTTGTAGGGTCAATAACACAAGGTGAGGGAGCGTGTCGGGCCTGTTTGTACCCACTGGGGTGTTCCCTGGTGGAAGGAGTCGGGGGGGGGGTAAAGTTTTTGCATAGATTTTTACTGTGCCGTTTTAGAGATACATTGTTCAGTCTATTTTTAAACGAACATCTCTGTCCCGTGTGACAGCGGTGTCTAGCTGCTCACCCCGTCTGCCTCACGGGCGGGCTGATGTGTATTCATTATGCAAGGGAATGGGGCTCGGGGTCGGGTACTACTGGGTGCTGCCGTCGGCCCTCAGGGCAGGCCTGGGTTAGATTTGTTCTGCCCTCGCGGGTTTCTCCAGTCCCGTCTCTCCCACACGCCGGGTGCCTGGGGCTGGGACCGGGGCAGGGGGCGGCGCGTGCAGAGGCGCTCGGGGCAGTCCCCCCCCCCCCCCCCGGGGGCGCGGGCCGCGCGCTGGAGCAAGCGGCCGTTGCTGGGGTTGCTGAGGCGCGGGGCGGCGCGATGTCGGCCCCCGGGGCGAGGGGCTCCGTGTTCTCGGTCTCCCAGCCCCCCGCCAGCGGCACCGCCGGCCGGCTCGGCTCGGTGGATTCGGTGCTGGGGAGCTTCAGCCGCGAGGTGGCCAAGGTCGGCAGAGTGCGATCCCTGCTGAAGGTGAGCTGCAGGGTGCGGGTGTTGGAGGGCAGGGGGTGAGGTGAGGGGGGGTGAAGGCAGGGTGTGGAGGGCTGGTGAGGTGTGGGGGTGTCAGAGGCTGGGGTGTGGGGGTGTCAGAGGCTGGGGTGCAGCGGTATGAGTGGGTATTGGTAGACTGGGGTGTTGAGATGAGGGTGGGTGGTTTCACGCAGGGTGAGGGCAGGGTGTGGGGGGTTAGAGGGAGGGGGTGGGTTGGAGAAGGGAGGGTGTGGAGGGGGGTGCGGGAGGGTGGAGGGC